ATGAAGAAAGAGATTAACAGAGGCCCAAACAGAGTCTCACTTGAAGGAGGAGGAGGGGGGGGCGGACAGGAAAGTGAAACTCAGAGGCTCACAAACCAGATCAGGACACAGGGCTGAAGTAAAGTTTTATAATCCACCCAAGTCTGTTCCAATATATTTAGGAAGGGATCTCATTCCTTGCCAATTCTCCCCCCCCCAAAAAATATTTTTTTACACTGATTTAAACCGCATTAGCGATGACAATAATAATAAAATAATGGGAAATAAATAGTTAAATAAAAATTATCAATCAAAAGTTGATCATATTTTAGCGTGTGCAGGAAGATCGCACAAAATGATTAAAACAGCAACATAATACATTTACCAAAGTGATTCACTGGAACATCGGTAAAAATTATCAATAACCAGTAATAAAAAAATGGTGAGAATATACAATTGAAAAAGTAGTCAAAAACAGGCAGGCTAAAATATTTTGGGATATCTGAATACAGGTAGTCCTTGACTTGTGAACACAACTGAGCCTACAATTTATGTTGCTAAGCAAGACAGTTGTTAAGTAAATTTTGCATTACAAAAGGGGAGTCAAACTCGATCCCGTCGTGGGCCATGTCAGGATTTTGTTTGCCCTGGGGGATTGGGTGAGTGTGGCCTGCTCATTGCAGCCGACTAGGTGGGCGTGGCCGGGCTCAGGACAGCAGGGATGGTCCCTTGCTATCTCTGGGATGGCCCATGGGACAACTTTGTGGCCTAGGACATAGATTTTATTTTTATTTTCTAGACGCAACTTTATTTTTAACTTCTATTGTTAGGTATTGTTCTCAAAATATATGAAACTTTTGTTTGAATATAAATCATATAATAAAACTAAAACTTCAAGACCCTTTTAAATGTTCATCTATCAACAGTGACATTACAAGAATAGCACGCCAGAACATTTTAATTTCTAGCGTTTTAATTCTAAAATGTTTTGCTTGTCAGACAATATGTTTTAAAATTCAAATAGGAAAAAAAAACGCATCCATTCATGCCTTTAAAAATTGCTACAATTGTGGGAAAATACCTTTCATGTATAATTTCTACAAGAGATTTATATTCAAGCTATTCTACACCAAGAAGCTCCATTTGTTTTAAAAAGGCAAGCAAATCAAATTTACTTATTGAAGCAATGAAACAGAAACATATCCAATCACAAATCTAATCCAGCAACAGATATCTATATCCTGGTAAAATTCAAACCAGATCATTACAATTCATTGTATCTGAGATTTTTCTCTAAAAAAGTATTATGCAAAAATGACTGTTGAGAACATATTAATCCAGTGCTAAAAGATTTCCACTAGTAGCTGGTTTATTTCTGAATAACAAGCCAAAGGGTTGGTTTTGAACTTTAAAATGCTAGAGTTTGAGTTGCAGGATATAAAGATTCAACTTCTTCATACAAATCTGCTGATAAGCAAAATCTAAGGAGGCTCTTCACAGTACTTCAGATACAAAACAGATGCCTGCCAGAGATAAAGCCTCTTCTATAAGGCATCCCAAATATGGAACTAACCTCTAGATATATTCACCTCATGCATTTAGTTATAGCAATAGCACTTAGACTTATATATCGCTTCACAGTGCTTTTACAGTCCTCTCTAAGTGATTTACAGAGTCAGTATATTGCCCGCAACAATCTGGGTCCTCATTCTACCCACCTCAGAAGGCTGGAAGGCTGAGTCAACCTTGAGCCTAGTGAGATTTGAACTGCCAAACTGCAGCTAGCAGTCAGCTGAAGTAGCCTGCAGTACTGCACTCTAACCACTGCGCCACCTCAGCTCATTTCCTTTCTTTTGGGAGCCAGGAAAGTATATATCCCAGTGGTACTCAACCTTTTTCTTCCCCATGGACCCCTTTTTGTGGCCATGGACCATAACTCCGGACCCCTAAGGCTTAAGATTTAACATTTCTTAACATTTCTTCAAGCCTTCATTGGCATTACGATGACATTACATGCTCCCCCCTCCTATGGGTGCACAGACCACAGGTTGAGAACCACTGACATATCTTTTTTCTCCAGTCCTTCTAATACTAAGAGTTTTTGCAGTTGTCCACTGCATTGTTTATTTGACAGATTTTGGGATACTGAGTAATCCATTAAGTTTTTAATGTTTTTTTTCTCATTTGAAGACTTTGTCTAAAAGATAAAAGTCAAATAATTTAAATAACAAACAATACACAGGGTCCCCTCCTCACTGCCTGTCTCCTTGCTCATTGAAAATATTTGCCCAGTCAAATAGGATAGGAGTAGGGTGATATACAGTATATATAGTGTAATGGAAAAAAGTGCTGAATTAGGACCAGGATTCAAATTCACCATCAGACATGGAGGTTTTCTGGGAGAGCCAGACAGTTGTTCACATACCATAGCCTTGTTCTGCTGAAATAAATGAAGGAGCACTACAGTATTTATGCTGTCTTATCTCCTAGAGGAAGGCCAGGATATACATCCAACACAGGAGTGGGTTCTGCCAGCCGCTACTGCTGGTTTGCTTGTGAGTGCATAGTGCCGCCTATGGCGCTGCCAGGAGAACCGGTTCGGGGGGCATGGAAGGGCTAGCTTGCTGCTGGTTCCAGCGACCCAGGCCGTCAAACCATTACCGGTTCGCCCAAACTGGGCCAAACCAGTAGGAACCCACCACTGATCCAATAAATCAATACCCAAATTCACACAGTGAATTTCAAACCTTTCAAGCAATTTTGTTCTCCATGTTGAAAACGATCAGGATAATCCAAGAACCTGCTTCAGAACTGCTATGAACTTAAATCGGAATGGTGATTTAAGGAATAGATCAGATGCTTTTTCTTTACTGCATATGTAACTGAACTGAACTTGTTCAAAGAAACTGTCAGAGGTTTTCATGGCAGGGTATTTTGAGGCTCAGAAATTTTGAAGTTTTGAATAATCTCTGAAATGTCCCTCCCCCAAAAGAAAATAATTGTCTATAGCTGAAAAATGGCAGAGGAAGTATTGTTCAAAGCAGCTTTTTCTCATGTCTCTGAAAATTTTTCCTACTTACTTTTTTAAATAAAGGGGAAACTAGTGGCCCAAGCAGCTTTTGAATAGAAGGAGGACATCCAGCATGGATCTTCTCTGCTTGGAGAATTTGTTCTTCTAGGAATGAAACATGATGGCCGGCCATTTTCACAAATGCCTAAGAGACAGAGAGAGAGATTAAGTCATCAAAAGAATTGGTTTGATATCTTAATTTTTGAAAACATTTTCCAAAATTATTTTTCAGCAACTGGAATATTTGTGTGTTTGTGTGTGTGTGTGTGTGTG